AATGATCACACTGAGATATTTATAAATAAATGGACACAGCTTGAGACCATACTCATAAGTGAAATAAATCAAACTCACATGTATAAATATCAAATAGTTTCCCTAGTGTAGGAAATGATAAGAATACATAAAAGTATGTGGTAATCATGATTCCCAATCATATTGGCTTGAAGCCATATAAAGTTTTCACTCATTAATTGGAATGGTTTTAATCTGGGTTGTTCAATTTAATTGTCTGTGATAGTACAAATAGCTATTTTTAAGAAAACAAGACATCATAATAGCTAGTGCTGATTTAATGTCATCTTGTTTTGGAGTCCCATCAAGCTGTTGTTTGTCTGTTTCTCTTGGTTTTAACATGTTGTGTCTTATTATATTTTACTATATGTGATAGTATAAACAAAAATTTTATAGGCAAAGAGATATTATAGAAACCATTGTTTGTTTTCTGTTAGCTGGTTCTAAATATCCTGTAATGCTTTCATTCTTTAAATGGTTTCATACTGTCTTGATATGTTTGATGCTATAGTATACGAAGTTATACTCAAATAATTCAATGAAAGATACACTATGGTGACTACTATTATGTAGGTTATCTGGTGGTGAAACACAATGATGCTTAAATTGTTCGGTTCTGACCTGTGTTGTTCTGTTACTATGTCCTCTTTTATCTTAATCTCCTCCTTTTTAAAATTAATTTACTTTTTTCTTATTTTCTTTTTAATTAAGGGAAAACTAGATTGAAAACTAGCGGGATATATTATACTGTTTGTTTTCCTATCAACCTGATTTGAACCCCCGTATTGCTCTCCCCATCTTGTTCTGATTTTACTATATTCTGTTTTGTTTGATAGTATCAAGTTTGAGGGTATAGGCAACCACTTTGAAGGCAATAAGATTTACTATGATGCCCAGTATGGTTTGACTATTATCTTCTTTGGAAGTTCTATAAGGTCTCTAATGTAGGTTTTATTGGTCTTGTTCTGTACTGTTTTGCTCAATTCTATTATACCTGATAATATAGGCAACTCTTTTTAAGATAGCAAAAGGCACAATGGTAACCATTTTTGATCACCTGGTTTTCTGTTTTTGCATCATGTACTATGTCCATCCTTCTGTTCTGACTCTGTTATGCTTTGTCACATTTGGTTATTTTTTTCTCTTCAAAAAAAAGTTATAAGAACTATGAGAGTAATAAAACCCAAAAAATGTAATTATTATTGTAAAAGGAGACGAAAAGAAAATGATCTAAAAGATATAACTGCATGTATATTTAAGTGTGTCGGATAGAAAACCATATTACTGAATTTTTGTTGGATCTCTGAACAGAACTGTCTGCAATTTCACTGTATGAATATCCACTTTCTATGCTTTAATTTTGTAATTTGGACAATTGTTTCTAAGAAGACAATATGTAATCTATTAACTAGTGATTTCTCACTGTATATTTTTTTCTTGAAATTCTGTATCACTTGTAGCCTTTTACTGCTTTGCTTTTTTCTCTTTAAATAAAAAAAAAGGCAAGGGAAAGGGGAAACTATATATACTGCATTTCCAGGAAGAATTATGTTTTTTAATAACCTCTTAGCAAGTTAATGAAAGAAAGTACTATTTTACAAAAGAAGGCTACAACATAAATATAGATGAAACAAAACAGTTACAAAATCAGTATTTTGCAATAGTTTCTAAATGGTTCAAGCAATAATAATCACTGGATTAAAATCATTCTGAGCATAGTTAATGGGAATTTATTATAGTTCACACTGTGTCAAAATAAAACTGCATAGCTTCCTCTCTGTTCCCAAGGGGAAAACATGACGGTACCAGGGCGGGGCCAAGAATTTATCTGTTCAACTGGGCAAGTCTCACTGTCACTGATGATAGGAGATCAGATATTACCATTTCTCAGTGTGCTGCAGGGTTTAAAACATCATGTATGCATAGGTTTAAAATGAATCTATCCAAATTTCAACATTCAGGAAATACCACAAATAGAGGACACACTAAATGTCCCTGTACTACAGCAATTACATAAACCCAGAACATGTGATATGTAACAAGACAATTCTCACTGACTCTAAAGCAACCAAAGGAAAAAATTTTAGGAAAATTATACAGGCTTTTGAAGGAGAATTGAGGAAAGTTGTTGATGAAGTCAATAGCTCCTTCAATTGAAGGAACTATTATTCATCTTGTAAGTTGTGATCCTTTTATTTTGGCTGCATATAAAATACTCATTTAAAAAAGTACTTTTACATAAATATTCGACATGAAATGTCGAAATATTCGACATGATATCAGTAATTTAGTCTGAAACACTTTTTTGTGGTCTGAGGATTGAACCCAAGGCTTACTCACTGAGCTACAACCGAGCCTTTTTGTATCTTTCAGGTTGAGACAAGATCTTGGTAAGTCACTAACTTTTCTGGGCTGACCTCCAATGTGAGATTTTTGTGCCTCAGTCTCCCAGATTACTGGTATTACACATGTACACCAGCACATCCAACTCCAGACTGGTTATTTTTTTCCATGGAAATTTTCACTCTTTGTGTGGATAGTTGTTTTGCTGGTTGTTTCTCTAAGTCTTTCTGCTAGTCTTTCTACTAGTTTATGCACGGTGAGGTAGGTGTTATGGTTCACATTGTGGATGTTCCCCAAAGGCCTTGTGTGTTGAGAAGTGGGGCTGTTGGAAGTGACTGGATCATGAGTGCACTTACCTGTCTGGATTAATCCAGGTATGAGTTCAGAGCTGACGTGTGTTCGATTGTGGATGTGGTTAGAAGAGCTGGGTCATGAGAGGCCTGACCTGGCTCCTCTGTTTGCTCTGTTTTTCCTTCCCCCATGATGTGAGCAGCACTCTTCCCTGACAGACCCTTCCCCACGCCATCTCTGGGTTTAAGCCTGCTTACCATGGATTGGAACTTTTGACACTGAGCCAGAATAAAACTCTCTGTAAGGCTGGGTGCCCAGGATTGTGTCTCAGTAGTCAGCAAAGTGACCAAGGTAATAGGAACCTTGCATAAAATTTTGTTGTTTACTGCTATATTCCTGCCACCTAGGAGAGTGCTAGGACAAATGTTTAGTATGAATGGAAAAATCGCTCACTACATTAAGAAGTAGGGCAATTACAATTTGAACCAGAAAAGAAAATCAACAGGGGCCAACACCAACATTACCCAGAAGCTGAGATGCTCTGGCAAGGGTTTGAAAGCAGCCAGCATAAAAATGATGCAGAATAGTAAGAAGACAAATGTACCGATGGTGGGACTATGAAACGGTGCTAGTGTGGAGAACACTTGGCAGAATTATTTTTAAAAATGAAACATGATGTGATACAAAAATACAGAGAATGTTTCATTTTTAAAAATATTAGAAGCCAGGCAGCGTGGTGTACGCTTACAATCCCAGCACTTGGAAAGCTCAGGCAGGAGGACTACTGTAAGTGTGAGGTCAGCTTGGGCTACATAGTGAGCTTGTGGCCAGCCTAACCTGGATGGAAAGACCCTGTCTCACCAAAAAGCAAAATAAACCAAATTTTCCCAAAACAGTAAAAGACATATTGCTAGTAATCACCCTCAAAATAACCCCCATCACTTTAAATGCGCTTATCCTAATTATTTGCCTCTTTTTAAAGGGCCTTGACTGTCATGACTGGCTTGACATCCTGAATCAGTTGTGAATGTCTACCTTTCACGGTTATTTTGACTTTAGGGATGAGCCAGAAGTTGCACGGTGCCAGACCTGGCGAACAAGGGAGGACGCATCATCGTGTTTTCACAAGGTTGCCTCTCTGGCAGATAGGACTTGGCAGAAGAATTCCATACACACACACACGCACACACACACGTGTGTGCGTGTGTGTGTGTGTATTTTAAAATCAAATCTGAACTTCCTGTCTGAAATTTGAGACAAAAATCAGGCGGTCAGCAAGTGTGAACATTGTTGACAGCTTAACAATGGAGTTTATAGGACTTATTACTCCAGTCTATCCGGAATTTTGGGTAGCTTTTCTCTCTACTTTCTTGTGAATCAAACTTTTTTTGTTTCTTGGAAATTGCAATCAGGTCTTCATGCAAGCCAGGCAAACCTACTACCAGTGAGCTACCCACCACCCACCAGCAACCCAACATTTATAGCATCTTTGTACTAAGTCTTAGATGGTTGGGACATATTTTTAATCAAAATAATGGCTTAAAAGCTTATTTTATTTTCCACATTAGGGGTATGGAGAGTTTACTCACAAGTATGTGATAGATTTGTTTTCCATTAATATTTACTCTTTAGATAAATACACGATTTGCTGTTCTGTTAATTTAATTTTGAACTGACTCAGAAAACCACACACATGCATCAGAACTCATTAAGTTTTTAGGTTCTAAGGGAAATACCATGTCTTACAAGCTACTAGTCAAGACTGAGGTGCACATCCAAGCGTGGTGGTACAAGCCTGTGGTCTCAGCATTTCAGGAGGCTGAGGCAGGAGGATCATAAGTCTCATCCCAGGCTGCAAAATTAAGAAATTTAGCAGGAATTTGTCTCAAAATAAAAAAATAAAAAAGCATTCGTAATGTAGCTCAGCATGCAGGCAAAGAGGGGAAAAATGGGAGGAGGATATAGAGGAGGAGGAGGAACAGGAAAAAGAAAAACACGGAGACAGGGAGAACAAAGTTTGAACTCAATCCTTAATGCCCTGCACATTTTACTTTTAAAAAGAACCTGTGTGTGTTTATTGAGATCCTCAGTGAAGGCTCTTTTGGTGCCATCATGCATTGTGTTACTTGACAGCTTTAATTGGCCACCTGAGCTTCACTAAACCAAGAAGGTAGCTCCATGGCAGTAGCTGCATCCTCCCACCCTGGATTTCTTCACTCCTTTGCCTTTTGAAGGGTGACATCCTGCCCCACTCCCCACCAAGCAGGACTGCATCCTTCCAAGCCCCTCCTGCTCACTTCTTTCTTCCTGGGTCTCCACTGCCTTACCCATCCCTCCTGGTCACTTACAGGGCACCGTGTCACGCAGATACTCCCACCACTGCCGAAGCGTGGAGTCCCCCATCATGTGGACGATGCGGCCAGCCAGGCAGCCCACGATGCTATCCGCGGTGGGGAAGGAGCGGCTGGAGCAGGCCAGGGAGTGCCACACGTTTCCATGGTAGAAGCCAGAGGGCTTAGGGGACAGCAGGCCAGGGCGGCACGGGAGCTGTGGGGACAGGGCTATGGGAAAGAGAAAATGTAACAGCCCACTGAACAAAGGGAACCAACATTAACCTCTTACGACATGTCAGGTAGTCTTCTCTTCCACGTTCTTGGCACACTGTATTTCATTTAGTCTTTTATGAAACCTATGGAGAAGTGTTGTGACCTCCGCTTACAAGTAAGGATGCTGGGACACCAAACGCTAAGTAATTTGCCCATGATTAAGATTAGTGAGGGGAAGAGAGTTGTCCTACTAATTTCTCTTAATTCTTGAGAAGGAAAGGTTTGTGCTAATATTGTTTGGACAATTAAATACCTGTATCTTGTAATACATGTAACATATTAACCATTGTTACACTCCTATTAACTTGTTTTAAAATTTTGGGGGTTTTTCTCTTTAAAATAAAATTTTGAAAAAAATAATGAGGGGATTAAGAGATGAAGAGAGGAGGAGAGAAGAGGAGGGGGAAGGAAGGGGAGAGAAAGAGAAGGGGCCAGAAAAATAGTTAAAATGTGTTATGTGTGTGGACTGAGTCCACACAAGGGATGTAGTCCTTATATATTGCATGTAGGTGCTAACAAAAATTTAAAATTAAAAAAATGATGGGAAGATCCTCAAGCAACTACAGGTGGGTGCTGGGGACGTAGCTCAGTGGTACAGTGCTTGCCTAGCATGCACAAGACCCTGAGTTCAGTCCCTAGTGCCACAAACACATAAAAAATACAAGTAGAATACTATGTGATGCAGCAATCCCAATTTTTGGGTTATACTCAAATGAATTGAAACCAGGATCTTAAAGAGATATTCTCTACACTCCCATATTCTTGAATCATTATTCACAACAGCCAAGACAAGGAACAACGGAGTGTCCTTCAATGAAAGAATGGAGAGAGAAAATGTCACATGCACACAAAATGGAGTGTTATCCACTTCTGTTTTAGTATCTGGAATTGAACTCACAGCCTCACCAGGCAGGTGCTTATGCCGCTGAGCTCAATCCCTGGCTCTTGTTATTCACTCTTACAAAAGGAAACCTTGCCATTTGTGGAGCATAGTAACATTACATTAAGTAAAAGAAGCCAGACAAAGACAGATACTGCATGATGCCACTTATAAGTAACATCTAAAAACTCAACTCAGAAGCAGAATAGAACAGTGCTTTCCAGGCATTTGAGATGAGGGGGAAACACCCAAAACTTATGAACTTTGGATTATAAAAGAAATAAGTTCTGGAGATCTAAGGCACACCCTGGAGACTACAGTTGTATACTTGAAATTTGCTCAGAGGTTAAAGTTTAAGAGTCTCTATGAATCAAACACACACACACCCTAAGACACAAAAATAAGCCAACTATGTGAGGTGATGAATGTTCTTAACTAATTCAACCGTAGTAATTCCTTAGTCACCATTAGAATCTTAAACTGGAGTTACTCTTGGTCTCTTTGCCATCCCTATAACACTGCAGTTTAAAATTATCTGCAAGTGAGTCATGGATAAGTTTACAGCATTAATGATGGTGATTTCACAGATGTACACTTCACATCAGACTCATCAAGTTGTATATATTAAATATGTGCAATTTCTGTGTCAACCATGCCTCAGTAAAGTGATTTAAACAAAGAATAGCGATGGGCAGGGATAGCTTTTGAATCGTGGAAGTCTGTTATTATGGTCCATGACACTGGCCTCTACAGTATCCACCCTCTCAGTCAAGGAACTGAAGCCACCTAGGTCTACTACCACCCCACCCCAGCACATGCCAGCCCTACTCACCCAGAGTGGTGTTGCTTGTGGCTGCAGGTCTGACCAGGATAGGAGAAATGCCCTGAGAGAGCACTTGGTCTGTCACATTCCTAGAGAAACAGGACAGCTGCATTGAGGGCTGTGATCAGGTGAAGTTTAAGCTGCGAGGGTGTGTGATGATTGACTGGTCACCTTTATTCTGCCTCACTTCAAAAATGAACAAGGTCATTGCAATCTAATTATCACATTGATAACTTGAGGCAATTACAGACAAAAGAATGATGGACAGAGTACAAGAATCTTATTTTGTGCCTCAATAAAAATATAATTTTACTTATGGGATCTTCCTCCCAAGACATACAGCCCTGGTGTAAGAACAAAAATAGACAAATTCCAATAAAAGTGAATCCAACAGTATAATTAACCAGTTCTTCTCAAAACTGTCAAGGTCATCAAAGGTAAAGAAATTCAGAGAATCTGCCATTTATGGCACATACTGTAATCCCAGCACCCAAGAAGCTGAGGCAGGAGAAGTACAGGTGTGATGCCAGCTTGGGCTACATAGTGAGGTCAAGGCCAGTCTGAACTACATGGCAAGACATTGCCCCAAAATACCAACAGTTATAAAGAAGAAAAAGTCAGAGAAGCTGTCACAGCCCAGAGGAGCTTAAGGAAACAGGATAAGTAAATATATGGAACTCGAATGGGATCCTGGAAAAGAAATAAATGATATTAGGTAAACATTAAGGAAATGTGAATAAACAGTGGACTAGGGTTATCATTAATGTGTTAATACTGGCTCATGAATTATAGCAGATAAACCACAATCATGCAAGACGTGAAAAATAGGAGGAACAGTAGAGGAAAGAGGAAATGGGAACTTTTTTGCCATCAGCTCAACTTCTCTGTAAATCTAAAACTTTAAAAAAATCTATTAATAAAAAAAATGTAGGGCTGGGGATTTAGCTCAGCAGCATAAGTACCTGCCTGCGAAGTGTGAGGTCATCAGTTTGATCCCCAGTACCACAAAACAAACAAACAAACAAATCAGTGCATAGATGTTTCCCTACTATGAAAATGTTTGTCTACAAAAGTCTTATACATCAAGATTGGCAACAGCTTTATTCATAATGGCCCAAACCTGGAAAAAACTGAAATGTTCATCAAGAAGCAAATGGGTAAACAACCTGTGGTATATCTATACAGCAGAACGGTCTTCCGGAATGAAAGGAAAGAACTGCTCACACCTAGCAGCAGCAGGCTGAACCTCCAGAACATTTCACTGAGCAGAGGGAGCCAGAGGAGTGTATACTTATGACTTCATTGACAATCCTGGACATCATTCCAGAATTCTAGTCATAATTCTAGTTAAGACAAAGCTGATATTTACCGTCGGAAGGCAAATCAGCGTTTGCCTGTGCCTGGAGCCTGGTAGAGGAAATTGATGGTGAAGGGCACAAGAGAACTCTTGGGAGTTGGAACTATTCTATATCCTCCCTGTGGCAGCAGTTACTCTAGTGTACGTGCTCATTAAAATGTACTGACATGCACACTTGAAACATGCAAACTTTGGAACATGTAAATCACACTTTCATAAAATCGATTTTGAATGCTTAAATCAAGAAATTTAAAACACAGTAAAATTACTGGCTGCTGAGAAGTGTTAAAATTAGACAAGTAGCTACTGAGCATCTTTTAGTCAGTGTTCATTGCACAAATGAATGAACTGCTGTCTCTAGAATTAATAGGTTCCAGTTCTGGTGGTGCTGGGAATGCCGTTGAACAGTTCTCGCATCTGATTCCAGTTAGATGCCTTTCTCATTCTCCAAGGCTGATGTTGGGACCTTGCTATTTTCTTCCCTTCACTTTTTTGTACAGCATTTCCTACTTCACAGAGAGGCTTTCTTACCTTTTTACTTCCAACCAAAAAATGTAAATAATAAGAGATTAACAATGGTTAATATATTATATATTGCTACCTTAAAAGTAGTTGTTCAGGTTACAAGATACAGGCATGAAAAAAATGATCAAACAATCAAACGATGAAAGCACAAATTGTTCTTTTGGATGAGCTAACAGAAATTGGTAATGCAATTATTTATTTTAACTTATTCTTCTGCCAAGTTTTTTTTTTCCAGAATATAAATGTGGTCATACATCCTTCATTAAACAAAGCTACTCCACTCTTCCTGGAGCTGCAGCAATGTCTCCTTTTTTGTGTAGGACAACTTCTTGCAAAACTGGTCTACTTTTGTTATCTGTCTTCTATGCATGTTGTAAATAATTACCATGTACTTGACATCCAGTTCTATTAGATGTTAACATTTTTCCAGATATAAATCAGATTTGTCTTTTAAAAAAGAATAGCCCAGCAGTGCTGGGGAAAATGCAGATTAACTGGATCTCTTGGAATGTAAAATGACAAGGTCATTCTGTTAAATAGGTTAGCAGTTTCTTATGAAACTAAGCATTTGCTGAACATGGTGGCATATGCCTACAATTCCAGCACTTGGGAGGCTGAAGCAGGAGGCTCATCATAAATTGAGTAAAGTCTGCGCTACATAGTGAGTTCAAGGCCACCATGAACTACATAAAACCCTGTCTCAGGAAACAAAAACAAAGACAAAGACAAAAACAAAAACAAAAGCTAAAACTTGGCATTCATCAATTGCATAATTGAAAGATTGCACTCAGGCATTTATTTCAGAGAAATGAAAATTTATTCTCATACAAAAACCTCAGAATAAATATCAACAGTAGCTTTGTTAATGACTCAAAACTTCAAATACTTCTGAATGTCCTTTAAAGTATGAATAGTTAAACACATACAGTGACATCTCAGAGAGCTAGGAAAAGGAATGAATTATTGATGCATCTAATAACTCAGGCAGGTTTCAAGGGTATCACGCCTAGTGGAAAAAAAAACAATCATAACTGACTGCACACTGTCTGACTCCATTTGTATAACATTATAAAAATAGCAAAAGTATAGAAATGGAAACCAGAAGAGGGTCACCAGGTCACGAGCTGGAGGTTGGGATTTCCAAAAAGGGACAGCAGAAGAGATTTCCTGTCTGGTGATGGAAGCTTCCTGTATCTTGATTGTGCTGGTACTCACATAAATCTACTGTGAAGGAACACACACACAGACCTGAGTACACATGTAAGCTGATCAAAACTAAACAAAATTTGTAGTCTAGTCAACAGAATTGTACCAATGGTAATTTTCTTGTTATGGTATTTCCCTTCATATATATGAGGTGTTACTGTTGAAGGAAGCTGGGGAGAGGAGGTTACATCATTTATGTACTATTTTGCAACTTCTTGTGAGTCGATAATTATTTCACAATAAAAAGTTAAATTTTAAAAAGCAGGATAAATAGATCATTACAGGTATCACAAATTCTAGTTAAGACACTTTATTACCATTCCAGTCACTGCAAAGATAAGGTCACTCCTGCAAACTCAGTGTTCATAGTCTCATCCACATTTTATACATTTACTATATAATGTATCTAAAATATGAAATAGAATTCCTTGGAAATTTTTAAACTCTATGTTATATTATATTATGTGTATATTATTACTCATATTTTCAAGGGATAGTTGTGTTACAGGATATAGCTGTTCTTCATTCATTTGAACTTTTTGATTCTATTATCTACTTCCTATTATAAGATAGGAATTAGAATTCCTAATTGTAAGATAGAGTCTTGCTAAATTGCTAAATTCTCTAGGCTGGGTTTGAACTTATGAACCTTCTACCTCAGCCTCAACATGCTGGGCTGCAGGTAGCATGCGGGGATGTAGCATCATACCAGGCAAGTCACAAGCAAATTTAAACAAAGTTCAGAGAATCAATACCAGAAAAGTTTTAAGTCAGGTCAAAATGCAAATAAATTGGGAAAAATGTTTTTAAAAGATACCCATTTTTAAATTTCAAAATCTTTAAAGGGAATTCCTAAATAATTACTGTAGAGATTATAAGATATGTAAAATGGAATAAAAATAAAGCTCCCATATAAAAAAATTTGGAGAATGCAGCTAAAGCTCTATTCAGAGGGACATTTATAGCGTTGACCATTTTTATTCTATAAAAGGGACATTGATGCATGCCTATATCTGGTAATCTGAGGAACTCTTTTAAGATAACAATAGGTAATATAGCAACCATTGTTAAATTTCTATCATCTTGTCTTGAAATCCTGTATCAACTGTTGTTTTGGGGGTTTTTTTGTGTTTTTTTCTTTAAGATAAAAAAATAGGAAGATTAAATAGATGGGTTAAGTGTTCTCAATCATGAAGCTAGAAAAAAGCAAAGCTATTCCAGCAAACAACAGCAAAAGCTATTGTCTGAAGAAACAAATAAATATTAAAGATCTAATCAGAAATCTATATAATAGGATACTGAGTCCTTTTCTGGTACTATGACAGACCTAAATATTCACCATATACTTCACTAAAAATTCTGGATATAATAGTTTTACTTTTTTTTGTACTGGGGTTCCAACCCATGACTTTGTGCTTGCCAGGCAGGCGTTTATATCACTGAGCTAAATCCCCAACCCTATTTTGTCTGTTTGAGACAGGGTCTCGCTATGCAGTTCAAACTGGCCTTGAACTCACTTTGTAGCCTAGGCTGACCTCAGCCTCACAGCAATCCCCCACCTCAGTCTGCTGAGTGCTGGGATTACAGGTAAGGACATAATAGTTTTAAATCCACTAAAGTTATTGAATATGGAACAAAATAAAAATGAAATTTTTTAAGGGTACACGTAATACAGAACTACAAAAAAAACAGTAAGAAATCACCAGTTAACAGATTACATATTATCATCTTAGAAATAGTTGCTCAAATCACAGTATCAAAGAATACAAAGTGGACATTCAAACAGTGAGACTGCAAACAGTTGTGTTCAATGATCCAACCAAAAACATTAATATGGTCAGCTATTTAACACCCCTAAACACACTTGCTGTTGTATCCTTTAGAGCTCTTTTTTTTCCCTCTCTTTTTTACAACAAAATTTACACATTTTGGGTTTTATTACTCCTTAGTTCTTATTACTTTTTTGGGAGGGGAGAGAATAAAGTCAAATATGGCAAAACAAAGCTGTCAGTCAAAACCAAGGATAGACATAGCACATGATGTAAAACAGAGTACAAGGTTATCAACAATGGTTATCAACGATGTCTCTTGTTTCCTTAAAAAGAATTGTCTATCTCATTAGATATTATAAAGTTGAACAAAACAGTAGAGAACAAGACCAATAAAACTTAGGCATTGTAAACATTACAGGACTTCCAAAGGAGACAATAGTCAAACCAGAATGGACATCTTAGTGAATCTTATTGCCTTCAAAGTAGTTGCCTATACCCTCAAACTTGATACTATCATACAGAATGGAACAGAGTCTAATCAGTCAAAAGATCGTGGGAGTATTACAGGACTTCAAAACAAGTTAATAGGAAATCAAATAAAGTTACTATTATATACCCTGCTAATTTTTAAAAATTTTCCCCTTAATTAAAACAAACATAAGAAATAGCTAAATAATTTTTTTAAAGAATAAGGGAGAGATTGAGATAAAACAGGACATAACAATATAACAATAGAGGTCAAAGCATGACTGTTTCAGCAACCTAGTGCTTCAAAACCAAATAACCCGACTTAATAGTAGTTACCATAGTGTCTGTCTTTTTCCTTGAAATATTTGAATAAAACTTCATATACTATAGCTTCAAATATTTCCATATCAAGAAGCCCAGAATAAAGCCTTTCCAATTAATAAGTGAAAACTTTATAAGGCTTCAAGGCCACATAATGGGGAATCATGATTACCACATATTTTTATATATTTGAATCATTACTTACATTAGGGAAACTATTCGGTATTCATACATGCGAGATTGATTTATTTCACTTATGAGTATGGAGTCAAGCTGCACCCATTTATTGATAAATATCTCAATGTGATCCTTCTTTATAGTTGAATAATACTCCATTGTATAGAAATACCACAACTTTTTTATCCATTCCTCAGTTGATGGACACTTGGGTTGTTTCCAACATCTGGCGATTACAAATTGTGCTGCTATAAACATAGGTGCACATATATCACTGTAGTATGATGCTTTCAGTTCTTCTGGGAATATGCCTAGAAGTGGAATAGCTGGAATAAATGGGATTTCCAATCCCAACTTATAAAAATGAAATTAATTAAAATCTAAGTGAAGGCAGGAATCTAGATAAAGTTCTGAAGCTGCTTTTGCACTGAAATGGTGGATTTGTCTTGAATACCTCTCTTCTCTCTCTCTTTCTCTCTACATTTCTCTTTCTCTTTCTCTTTTCCTTTCCCTTTCTATTTCTCTTTCTCTCTCTCTCTTTCAAGTAGGGTCTCACTATGCAGTTGATGTAGCCTAAGCTGGCTTTGAACACACTGTGATAGTTCTGCCTCAGTCTCCAGAGTGTTAGGATTACAGGCCTGTGCCACCCAACCCTGCTGAGTAGCTCTTTCAAACCTAAATTGACTTGTAACCTCTCTGGATCACAGCCTGACCTGGTTACTGTGCTGTGGTTTTGCTTAGCAACATCTTCACATAGTAGATGCTCAACAAAAATACATTGAAAGACAGTAGGAATAAATGAATGGTGTTAGTGGTGGAGGCCATCGGATCACGGGGGTAAGACTTAGGAGGAAGGATGTGTCTTGGGTTTGACACATATCCCAGAATTTCTTACCATGCCAGTAGATTCTCATCATGTTTTGTGGTTACTTTTAGGTAACTCCCACTTGAGTGACCAACTAAAGAGTTGCAGGGCAAGGTAGGAGGCTTCTCACAGAACCAGAGCTCACCAGAAACTGCATCCCTGTACTGGCAGATAGCCTTTTTAGTGCCAGTTGACTGAGGGTCAACATTGCAAATCACAGTTTCTTGAGGCCCTTGTTTTCCCCGGAAATATCCCCTAAAATTAACGGTGGCATGTTTCTCTGTCCAGATTCTGCGCAGAACCCCAATTGCCTCACTGGAGTGGATCAGCCGCACTTGCACCTGGGCCTTCCCAGCCCAAAGCAAGGGGAAGGACAAAAGGTATGTGCCATTCTCCAGATCCTGGACATCCCCGGGAACCCCTGCTTTTAATTCTGAGCCCAGCAGCTTTGCCCTAAACAGATCTCCACCATAGGTCTTAGGCTTGCCCCGGTGGTCCCTGGCCACGAGGACAGCCTCCAAGTAATCTCCCAGGGTATAGCTGGCCTGGGCAGGACCTCTCAGGTAGTAAGTGGAGGTCTTGGGGCTGGTGGAGGCCAAAAGATCCCCCTCAACTCCTGGGGTTGGAGGCCAGTACAGAAGGTAGGTCAAGTTAGTAAGCGCCTGAGGGAGAGAATCCAAGAGGAAGGGAGATTCCGTGGAGTTGGAAGCAAGTTTAGAGGCTGGGTGGGGTCCTGGGATCCGGTAGGTGATAGTTTCAGGCCAAAACATCTTGAGGTAGAGTATCTGTGGGTAGAGGAAGAGGGATTTGTCACAGGATTGTTTCTCTGGTTTCTTTTCCTGGAAGCTAATAACCAGTGCTGGTTCCCTCTGCCAGCTGGGACTCAGGAGTCCTTTCTGCCTCCATCACGCTGTCTGTCTCTCGTAAGCCTGGTGCCTGAGTGACTGGCACCTTTCTGTGAAAGGTGCATCTCACAGTTGGAGAGAAGTTGGGCCTCCAGTTCAGCCCTACTGCTTCCTTCCCTGACCTTTTTACTCCCTCTACTAGCACCCTTCAGCACCCACTGAGATACACACAGGCTCGGTGCCCCTTTCACATTTCTGCTGCCCTTCTTCCTCAGGAATCTTTCTTCCCCTCAGAACCTGGCACTCTAATGTCCCCTTTGCACCCAGTGGCTACCTCCACAAACCCTCCTGCACTGTTTCTAGTCCAGGTTTCTAATTGACATCTATGAGTAGGGAAACTTTTTACTTGATGCGTTTGAGAATTTAGGAAGAGTGGTGTGGGCCCATTTCTCAGTGAGATCTCTTTCTCGTTGGACTCACCTGGAAATGAGAGATGCAGCCACAGAAATTATCAGAAAAACAATAAACTGGAAAAACACAGAATAGGGGTGAGCTGGAGAAAGGATGGAGACAACTGATTCTTTTCTAGGAACAGACAGGATTTGCTGGCTCAAACCCTAGAGCCGCCTCCAGGGCCCAGATCTCTTGAATGTCATATTCCTAGAAGCACAAAGTGCAGAGAAGTGAAAAGATCCAATGAGAATTACAGTGGAGAGAAGCCATGTTCTGTGTGATGGAATGGTGGTGACTGGAGGGAATACAAAAACTCACATCCGTCAATATCCCTTTCATTCAAGCAAGTGTAATTCATTTCAAAAATGCAATCCACTGATATGTCTCAAGTTGGGGAAACTGCCAATGCCTATCAAGTTCATACTATAATTAAGTGTATGAGCATCAGAGAGATCAACCTGTACTAAGAAGAACTGAGTATGGCCATGTCTGTGTCATGAGGCACAGGGGTAGCAAACCCTTCTTCTTCACTGTCTCCTAAATTGGCTATTTATTTGCAGATAGGTTTCATCTGTTAAATTGTGGACTCTTAGAGGTGGTACTGCTTTTTCTCCAGATCTAGCACAATGGGCTGCAGGGAAACCTTAGTAGAAGGCTTTAGGATAAGAATGTGGTTCCAAGTTAAAAGGCAAGACACAGAATGTAAAATCAACATTAAAACCCACAAATAATGAACTAGGTGAAATTAAATCAGGAAAAAATTTCATTCAAAATAAATTTTAGGATTGGTTTTCTAATTGTGAGATATACTATTGGAATTTTGGTTAATATTGCATTAAATCTATGCAACAATTTTAGAGTTATGGCCATTTTCACTATATTCATTCTTCCTGCCCAAGAACAAGGGATATCTTTCCATTTGCTGATATCTCTTATTGATATCATCTTCCATCTCCTTTTTAAGAGTATTATATTTTTTTCAGTGTGAAGGACTTTTTTTCCTTCATTAGACTGATTTTTTGTATCTCATCTCTTTAGATGCTATTGTGAAAGGTGTTATTTCCCTAAATTCTCTCTCAGTGAGTCTGTTCTTTGTGCACAGGAGTAGTACTGATTCTTGAATGTTGACTTTGTATCCAGCTATGCTACTGAGTTTGGTTATTAAATTTAGAAGTCTTTTGGTGGAGCTTTGGGATTCTTCTATGTAGAATATCATGTCATCAGCAAACAATAATAATATAGTTTCTTCCTTTTCTATCCTTATTCCTTTTTAATTCTTTCCTTTATGTAATTATTCTGGCTAATGGTTTCAGAACTGTATTGAATAAGCATTAAGACAGTGGACATCCTTGTCTTGTTCTTGATTTTTGGAATAAAAGGTTTCAGTTCCTAACCATATAATATGTCATGAATGGCTTTGTCATGAATGGCTGATTTGTCATGAATGGCTTTTATCAGATTGAAATAAAAAGCATCTATTGCAATTTTCTGTAGAGTTTTTATTAGGAGTATATGCTGTAGATTTTCAAATGTTTTCATGCATCCCTTGAGATGATCATGAAGTTTTCTTCATTGATTTTGTTAATACAATGTATTATATTTATTGATTTATATGATTTATATAGGTTGAACTATCCCTGAATTGCTCAGCTAAAACCTATTTTGTCATCTTCTTGATGATTTCCTGTGTTCTACTTGCCAGTATAGTGGGCCCTCAAAATTCATAATGTTCATAGAGAATTTTTGAGTTGTGAAAAACCATGACTTCAAGATACAGTCAGAAAAAAGCGTCTATTTCTTTCTTTCCTTTTTTTTTTTTTTTTTTTTTTTTTTTTTTTTTTTTTTGTACCATGGATCAAACTCACACCTTGAGTTTTCCTGGCAGGTACTTATGCTGTTAAGCTAAATCTCTGGCCCAGAAAAGAATCCTATAAATACCTACTTTTATAGTTCAGGCCAGGAGTATGCTATGTCTCCCCCAATCGTGTAAATTGATATAATAAAATAATGTATTGCTAAAGCCTTAGAAGGTTCAGAGTATTTTGGTGTCATCTCTTAGATTTTAAGAAAAACAAACTGAGATTACTAGAGATAGCTACACATGATTCAGCAACCTGTTAGGATGCGGGAATGCTGATGCATCTGCCCCCGATGGGGTACAAGGCAGCAGCCAACCAGAAGCAACAAGGACTAAATAATGCTCTTATTCCGATTACTTGCAAACCTCCCACCAAAAAAAAAAACCACAAAAAAAAAAACAATTGTGGAGAATGTTTGCAGTTTTCATAAAATAATAGGGGTTTGTTTGTTGTTGTTGTTGTTGTTAACTACTGTTAGTTAGGTTTTAAGGAAAAATCCACAAATGACTGAGGCCCTGAATGATGAACCATGACTTTGTGGGGATATAGTGGGTCTTACTGAGGACTTGTGAGACTATGTTGACTAGAGAGATGGGCCTTTCATTTTGTTTTTTAATTGGGCCCTTCTCTGGTTTTGGCAGCAGGTAAGCCTTGCTTCCAGCAATGCAAGTGAGTAGGTGAGTCCTATCTACAAGGAAAGGAGCATTACTTCCCTTTCAATTCATTACAGAGTTTGAGCAGTCATGCCATTAGATCTTTAATTTTCTTGTAGAAATGAATATATTTTAAAAGTTCAACATCAATTATCATTCCAGAGATGCAAATTAAAAGAACACTGAGATTCCATCTTGCCCCAGAAAGAAAGGCTCTTGTTAAGAAATCAACCAATAAAAGTGCTGGCAAGCTGTGGAGGAATAAAGAACCCTTCTCCACTGTTGGTGGGAGTGTTAGAGTGGTTCAACCACTGTAGAAATTGGTGTGGATATTTCTCAAAAAATGGAAGTAGAGCTTCCCTTTTGCTCAGCTATTCCCCTGCTTAGAATCTTCCTGCAAGAATTAGAAGTATCATAGCACAGTGACATATATACACCCATGCTTATGGCAGCACAATTTACAGTAGCTAAATCTTGTAAATAGCCCAATGTCTCAAAAGAGATGAATGGATAAAGAAGAAATGACTTTTTTAATAAAATAGAGTACTACTCTGCTATAAACAAGGATAAACTTGAGACACTTCTAGCTAAATGAATGCCCCTTGAGACCACACATTTAGGTGAAATAAACTAGATACACATTTAGTATCATATTGTGTCTCTAGTGTGAGAAACTGAAAGGGTAAATAAAGACCAAAAATGTATAATAGATCTTGGGAAACTGAAAGAAAATGTTCAGGTGGAAAGAAAGGGAACAAGAGAGGGAAGGAGGGACAAGAAAAAATAGAACAGATAGCAAAATAGAAACAAAGCTTTTGTAAATAAGAAGGGAAAGAAAGGGGAGAGAATTGGGGAGATAGAGGAAGAATCAAGATATACTATGTACAGGTACAAATTCCTTGTGATGAATGTGGTCATTATATATATCTAAAGTGTACCATTAAAATTAGTTTTAAAAAACACTGAAGCCCTAGACATAGGAAAAGTCTTCATGAATAGCACCCTAACAGCACAGAAAATAACAGCAACTACTACCAAATGGAGCTACATCTATTTAAAAAGTTTTACAACAGTAAAGGAAACAACAAGTGCAGTGAATAGACAGCCTACAGAATGGAAAAAAATCTTTGCCAGCTACTCGTAGTATCTATAAGAACTCAGAAAAAGAAAGAACTCAAAAAGTACCAGGAAACAAATATCCTGATCAAGAAATAAACAGACACGTCTCAAAAAAAGTAGTACAGAAGTAGTACACCTCTCAATAATTGTACGGAAAAATGATCAACATCTTTTTTTTCTGGTATTAGGGATTGAACTCATGACCTTGTGCTTGCCAGGCAGGCACTTATGCCTGCTGAGCTAAATTCCCAGCCCAATGATCAACATCTTTAACCATTCTGAAAATGCAGATCAAAACTACACTGAGATTCCATCATCTCGGTCAGAATAATCAAGAATACAAGACAAAACAAAAAACAGTAAGAGCTGGTGAAGATGGGAGAGAGGAACACTGGTTAGAATATAAATTAGTACAACCACTATGGAAGGAAATATGGAGGTTCCTCAAAAAAAACCCCTAAAACTAGAAATACCATATGATCTACCTATACCATTCCTCAGTATATATCCAAAGGGATTCAGTCAGCATAGGAGGGGGAACTCCTTCAAACCCTTGTTCACTGTGGCACAGTTTACAATAGCCAAGATCTGGAACCAGCATAGGTGCTTATCAATAGATGAATGGATAAAGAAAATACGATATATATACACAATGAAGGGATATTCAGTCATAAGGAAGACTGAATTTCCTGTGACATTTGCAGGAAAACGGATGGAGCTAGAGATCATCATAGTAAGCAAAATGAGCCAAAGTCAGAAAAGCTAATACCTGTCCTTTCCCTGTTATATGGAATCTCAAAACAAAAATAATGTCACGAAAGTAGAACAGAGATTATTAGACAACAAGAAGGAAATAAGGAGAAAGAGTAAGAAAGGAGACTAGGGGAAGCATGTGATCACAATGATTTGTGCACATATGAAAATACCACACTGAAACCCAATCTTACATGAAAGTCACAGGAGCTAATAAAACTATACTTCTGAAAAGTTAAGATAGAAGCCTCTTCCGTGAGGGTGAGGTGTACCTATGCTACAGCAGTATGAAGAAAAGAGGAGTCCAAATTCACAGATCATACGTCCACAGGATATGGCTTTGGTCACTTTGGTAAGCTGAATGTTGGCTTTCCAAGATGTCCAGGTGGTAATCTTTGGATCTTGTGAATATGTAACTTCATATGGCAAAAGGGACTTTTATACTTCATATAAGTAGATTATTTTATGATAGGAAATTATCCTGCATTATGAAACCACAAATGTAATCATGAGTGCTTTAAAATACCGCGTAGGGAACCAGATGTGGTGCTGCATGCTGTAATCCCAGCACTTGAGAAGCTGAGGCACCAAGATTATTGCAAGTTTGAGACCAGCCTGTGCTACAAAGTGAGCTCCAGGCCTGCCTGAACTGCATAGCGAGACCCTGCCTCAAAAAGACAAACAAAACAAAAAGAAAAGAAAGTAAGAAATATGATGTAGGATAATATCCTGACCCATTGTAGGGAAGTATGTCTTTGATAATCATCAAAACCTGCTCACGATCAGGAAAATATTGATAGATTTACAATGTCAAGAAAACTAAACTGATTTTTCCAGATTTCAGTCTTCCAATCTTCCAAAGTCAGAATGAAAAGTTTTTAGTCTTTGAAAAAAAGAATCCTAAAATAACCTGATGTGAACCAGTTTTTTATTCTGTTTTTCTGTTTCCTTGTTTCCACCTTATAAAACTCGTAATTCTGCCATTGCCCAGTGGGAGCTCACCTTCTATTTTTCAGAATGGGGGCTGCCCTAAATCATGATCACAAATGGAATCCAGTTAGATCTATAACTTAATTTGTTGTAATTTTGTCCTTTGACAACTTTCTGACAGACAGACATGTGTATTTTCTTCATGAAGCTAGAAAACAATTCTTGATATTTTATGCCATGCTGGAGGGCAATAGAATCAATTTAAACAGACTTGTAGTCCCAGAAATTTCAAAATCTTACTGACAATGAAGACATCCAGCAAACATCTTGCATAACAGCAGATCAGAAAGGCTTGAAAATAGTAGAACTATAACAATAAAAACTAAGAAGGGGCAAGAAATTGTGTGAAACTCTACCTAAGTATTGGGTTTATGGATTGGAGAATCCATACTGCAAAGCTGTAAATGCTACTAAAATTTTCTTGTATGTTCTATAAAATTCTCATCATCAAAATCTCATGTTTTATATCTGTGTGTATAAAAGGGAGGCTAACATTTATATGTAAGTGCAAAGCTTATGAAGTAGACAAGACAGTCTTAAAAGCATGAAGTGAGAATTATTTAGAGTTTTAACAGATCTACAGTAATTAAGATGATAAGATACTGGTACAAGAATAAACAAATAGTCCCTTGGAACAGAATACAGCACCTAGAAATAGAGCCTCACTTTAGAGACAGATGATCAGATGTAAAGTGGCACTGAAAAATAATATAGAAAGCTTTTGTTCCCAATAAGTTGTGTTAGAACAACTGAATATCCTTATTAAGAAAAAAAACCTGGATCACAACCTTATAACATCAGCAAAATCAAGTCAGGGCATGCTATAAGTTGAAATCTCCTAGAAAACAACAAAAAAGAGTTTCCATGCTTTGGAATAGGGGAAATTTCTTAAACAAAATACAAAGGTACTAATAGTAAAGGAAAAGACTGATAAACTGATCTAGATCAGAATTAAATGCATAATTTTCTTTCACTGAAGGGCAGTACCCAGACAATGGAAAACAAAACAGAAAGTTAGAGAAGACATTTATAACACACATACGTAACAAATGAAAGAGCTCACATCTAAAATTTATAAAGAATTTCTACAAATTGATAAGAAAAACATAGGCCACTCTATCAAAAGTGGACAGAAAAAGCTCCCCTCCCTGTTAAGCAGCTGTGGTGTGGCAAGCTGTGGCCCCTTCAAGAGGAAAACCACCAGCATCTCCTGAGATCCGCGCCATGTTGGAACTTAGGACCCTGGGAAACCAAGCAAGTAGCTCCCTTCACTGGTAAGCAGCTGTGGTGTGGCCGATGTGGCCACCCCTGAGGAAGAACCACCAGTATCTCCTGAGATCTGCACCATGTTGGAACTTAAGGTGCTGGGAAACCAAGTAAGCAGCTGCCTCCCTGGTAAGCGGCTGTGTTGTGGCAGGGTGCATCCCCTCCAGGGGGAGAACCACCAGTGTCTCCTGAGATCCGCATCATGGGGAACTTGGGACTCTGGGAAACCAAGCAACCAGCCTGCCTGCCTGCCTGCTAAGCAATAGTGAGCCTACTGGTACAAGGGCAGAGAGTCAATCATCCCACTTCCCCCTACCCCCTTTCTCCTGCCCCCCATTAATAAATGGGAACCAGAGATCTGAGCATCTCTTGGGAGATTGACCATAGCAAATAAGGGGAATTTCCTTCTATCAACTCTTTGAAGGCAAATATTTTTATTACTGTTTTGCTTTATTCTGATTAATGATACTGCTCAATTCAATGTACTATTTTGATAAGTTCTATAATGTTCTGTATTTCATTTTATTTTGATATATGTGATTGAAAAAATAGCTATTGTGAAAATAACGAGATATACTGTGATACCTATTACTGTTAGCTGGGTAACCTGCTGTGAACTTCTGTACTAATTTCACTACACTGTCTCAGTTGGCTTTATTCTGTCTTGTTCTGTTCTATTTTGCTACTTTCAAAATAAACTTTAAAAAAAAGTAGACAGGAAGTAACAAGCTAACAAGCATTTCACCCAAAAGGAGGATTCAAAAGATCCACAGATGTTCAACTGAATTAGTAACAAAATAAATGCAAGTTAAAATCCTAACGGAATACCTCTACATATTCAAAGAAAAGACAAAATTAAATGACATTTACAGTGTTGGCAGGGATGGGAACCTCTGACATTGTGTGAAGAGACAAACAAATCTGAAAAACTACTTGGAAAACTCTCAATATCTACTAAAGTTTAACATATAGGTACTGTAGACCCAAGCAATGTAGCTCAAAAGTATAATATACAATACCCCCAACAGAAAGGTTAGCCTGTTTAGAGTAGCAATATCTAAGCCCAAAACAGAAAACAACAAACACCTCCATTAATAGCAGAATGCATAAGTAAATTTGATATTTTCATATGCTAAAATATCACCATGAAATAAAAATTAACAAATTATACCTTTACATAATAACATGGATTAATCTTGCAACAATATTGTATACATAAAGTAGATGGTGTTTGAATATTATTCTGTGAGATGCAAAAACAGACAAAAAGGGGCTGGGGATACAGCTCAGCGTCATAAGTGCCTCCCTGACAAGCTCCAGGTCCTGAGTTTGATTCGAGTACCAAAACATTAATTAACTGGTTAATTAATTAACAATGTCCAAAGTCAAGTGCTGGTTCTGATCAAGAGGGTGGTAGTGACAGGAATGGAGGCCAGGAGGAGGCTTCTAAGGGTGATGGCAGTTTCTGATTCTTGACTTGGATTGTGATCACATAGATATAGTGGATTTCTATTGAGCAGTTAAAACTTTATAAACATTTTTATGTGTATTATAGTTTAACTTCTTTTAAAACGTGGAAAGTTTCAGCTGCTACACAAAGAAATCTCACAATCTCACACAGTACAAAGCTATCCTGGAAATGAAATTCAAAATTTCTTTAGACCTGGCTGTTAAGCAGATAGGATTTCCCTATTAAACCCACTGCTCTTAGAATAAAGGACAGTTTATGAAACCATAGTCCAGATCACCTACTTTTTAAAAGAAGAGTAGAAATATTATTTCCATACAAAAACCCTGTTTAAACAACAACTGTAAGCAGTCCGTGGGGTATCTATTGTTGAAATTTTCTTTTTGCTTGAAAAACAGGCAAGAAAGTGCCTTTTCCTGAACACTCCTTGGCTTCCTGTTGCTCTTTAAAAAAAAAAATCTCAGTCAGTGTACCCACCTGCTCACTTTCTCCATATCGGAGGGGTTTTTTCCCCCTTTTGATTTCCTGCCTCTTTTTTTGGTCTGCGACAAAGCACAGCTGGGCACTACAGACTCCCATCTTTTTTCTCTTATACTAGGACAGAAAACATCTTTCAAAGATGAGAGTAAAGAACAATGTAAATTGCTTATTCTTTTCTCACCACTAGAATTTTCCCAGGAACAACCTCTTTTGAAGTTAAATTTTAGAGTCCAAATCAAGCTCAGCCTCCTCCTGCAGATGAGGTAAGAAGACTGAGGGTTTCTGTAATCCCCTTTCCTAGCTAAAAGCACTTAATCAATCCATATCTGAGTTTTCACAGGGGGAAAAGAGAGGAGCCAACAATAAGAGAGAGTACAGGCAAGGGAAATACTCACCCAAACTAAAATGACCAATCCCACAGTCAAAATCTTGCGGTACTTGAATTGCTCTGTAAACAGATCCATGCTATCTGGTTTCTTCTTGAGCTGTCAGGATGAACCAAGGATCCAGGTAAAGAATAAAGCAACACAAATTAACGGACTCTCCCATCACACAGGAAGGCGTTTACTGTGGCAAAGTTCCCACTTCCGTAAACTTCGTCATGAGTCATACGTACACGTTTTGTCAATACTATGCAGTCTGTTGCAGCCCTCTGTCTCTCAGGGATCCTCAGAATTTACTCTTTCAAGTCCTGATTTTCTACCAGAATCCTGAAGTCTCACATGTGACCTTTGGAACTAACACAGATTCCTGTAAACAGACAGGTTTCCTTTTGGCATGTTAAGGATGCCCCTGGATCTCTGCACTAAGCCTGGTTTAGACATCTGAGGATTTAGTACTTTCACAAGTGTTTTATTTTTGTATTTATTAATTTTTAATTTTGAGACAGGGTCTCACTAAGTCACCAAATTGCCCAAACTCGGCTCAAACCTGTGGTTTTCCTGCCACAAACTTCCAGGGTAGTGGGATTACAGGCATTCATCACCTAAGGCAGAAAAATAAGCCTTGGAGTAACCAAATTGAAAAATAGAATAAAAGTTTGTCAAAATAATGACCAAAGTGTGTACTTTTAACTGAACTTTGAATTGGTTTAGAGATCCTGAAAACCTGTTTTTCCTGGTTAAAAAGGGGCAGTGCAAGCCATTATCAGTATTTCCCACCCTTCAGTCATGCCCTGCAAAGTTCACATGATTGTGTAATAAACATGCATAGCCTACATACTTTCTACTTGGTCTCTTTCTTTAAGCTTATTCATGGTATGTCTTAGTTTCTTTTTTGCTTGCTGACACAAAATACTAACACCCAAAGTTAGAAGTGGAAATGTTTATTTAGCTTGCAGAGATTTCAGTCCATAATAGGTTGGCTCCAAGGCAGGATGGCTTTGCTGAAGATCATCACAGAGAATAGTTCCTGGTGACCACAAAATAGCAAAAGCAAGAAAGGGACCCCGACAACGTCATTATGTCTTTTATATTTTATCTAAACTAGTTAGGAAAGATAGTACACCTAGTACCCAGAGCCTAGCATAAACCATGAATCAATCTCAGAGTCATACACTCTAGATTCAGCCATGTCTGGAAGAGCCCCACCTACAACCACATGAGGCTTTGGGAAGGGCATGGCACAAGCCATGGCATTCTGCTTCTGGCTTTCCAAAGACTCATGCATATCCCTTTATGCAAAAAAGCATTTAATCCATCTCCAAGATCTGCCAAAGTCTGAACAGTTTTAGCATTATTGAAAAGCCCAAGTCCAAAGTCTTGTCTGATGTTTAAAGCAAATAGTTAGCTGCAAATGCCTGTACAAATGAAAAGAAAGTTAAACACTTTCAACATTCAATGACACAAGATAGATATTTCCATACATAAAATTATAAACAGGGATACAAAGGAATGGGGCCAAAGCAAGTCCAACTTCCAACAGGGCAAGCATTAAGTCCTGGAGTTCCATGTGCAGGATCAGAGGTGATCTGTGGCAAGATGTGAACTCCAAAGGGCTTGGGTGGCTCCACTACTACAGTATTTCTGGTAATTATAGTTCCTGTGGCTTCTCTTAGGTTGGCTGTGGTCTCTTCTTGCAGTTTTCCTCAGATGATACACATTCTTGATATCTCCACACTTTTGGGGTCTCCACTGCACCTTTGATTTCACACTCACAGCTTTACATAGTTCCCTCCCAGGGGCACAGTGACTGGCTCCTAGTTAAAAGCCTTCCTGACCCCACAGCTCTTGAATTCTGCATGTGCCTAAAAACAGCACCATTTGGATGATGCCAAGGTTTGCTGCCAGCTGGAGCAGTAGCCAGGTGTAGGAGATGACATGGGTAACTCCAACTTAATGCACAATAATTGCATCAGCCAGCCTTGTTTCCCTGTACTGATATGTGCAGAGCCAGCTATGTGTGCTATTTCCTTCTCCCTTCAATTGGCTCTCAGCAGTGCAAATAAGGCTAGCTAAGGTTGTGATTCGTAATGCTTGAAGCAGTGCACAGTTTCCTGTTTCCTCACAGGTTTCCCTATAAATGGTTGAGCACAGCAGGATGGCAGAGCCATATAGTTCCAGGAATGTTAACTGCTTTGAAACCACAAGATAAGAAGATAGGACTTCCCAGGCCACAAAAGCTTACATATCAGAAACTGAAGCAACAGTCTCCTAAAACATCCAAATGCTACCTCAATCGAGTCCTGCAGATCAGTCTTTCTGCATACTTTTCCCTATGTACTGCAGAGGCACTTGCTACCCACCTGGCCAGTTCAGCTCACATTTCTCACATAATTCCTGAGTCTCACTGTCACTCATTCTTGAGCCACTCTCTTTCTTGATGAGAAAATAAGTCTTGGGTGAGGCCTTGGATCAAGGCCTTTGTTCCATGTATCCTCACCTGGACTGAACTCAGGACCTTTTGACTGCCCTTAACTGACAGATATATGTCTTAAAGTCTATTCTCACCATGGGTTGCACTGGAGATGGTAGATTGGTATTAACCTGCCAGAATTCCAATAACATCTCAATAAAATTACAAGTATACAATTCCTTGAGCTGTGAAGAAGAAGAGAAAAGGGATTATAATATTTGGATTACAATATGCAATATTTGGTTTACAATAGCCAGGCTTCCTTCTCCCTTGACTGTAGGAGTCAAGTGCCTATGAACAAAATTCTAAAAACAATTTCCCTGGGCCACATGCATTCTGGAACATAGTGCTCTGGAGCTCTCTTCTCAAAACAATGTCTTTTTCTTGTGCAATTTTGAAACTGATTCTGATGGGCTTCCCTTTGTAGGTAATTTATTTCTTTCTAGAAGAGCTTTTAATATTAATCTCTGTGTTGAACTTCTGGAACTTAACTATCATAGATCTTGTTGTAGATTTTTTTGGTCATAGCTAATTGGAGTTTCATATGCCTCACTTCTATGTACCTCAAATTCTTTTCTCATGCTTGGGAAGTTTTCTGCCATGACATATATGAGCATGTTTATGTCATTTGGCTGGTTTCCTGCTTTTTAATTTACTCTGATCAATCTTATAATGTTCTTCATTACATCATCTAGTAGCTGTTGTACTGATTTTTTATGGTCCCTTAGTATTTTTAAAAAATCTTTCTATTCATGATCACTAACTACAATACTGTCTTTATATCTGAGATTCTATCCTCACATTGGCTCTTTCTGCTGTAAATGGAATATTTAATACCCCAAATATCTATTGGAATCTGTATCATGGGTTCAATTTTTTTCCTATGTTGAATGTTCACCAGTTTACATCATTTTCCTAAGCTCTTCTATTCTTTTAGGTATATGTGCTCTAGAGTCATCTAGTAGGTTTTTGATTGCTCAAAAGACAATTTGAAAACCCCAGAGTTACCTAATAAGTTCTAGACTGGCTTGGACTTACACCTCCTTTGACATAGGAGAGAGCTCCTATGTCAAAACAAACAACAATTTATGATATCTAATACTTACTACAGAATAATTGAAAAGAAGAACGTAAGGAGAATGTGAGAGATCAAATAAAATTGGCCACATAATGATAAGTGTTGAAATTTTTGATAGGTACCATCTATTCATTGTATTAGTATCTCTATTCTTGTATTTTGAAAATGTTGGTAATAAAAATCTAAAAGGAAAAGGCAGAAAAAGACAAAACAACTTTCACTAAATGCTAAGTTGGCGGTAAGGAAAGAGATGATCATGGAATTGTTTGCCAAAGAATAAAGGTCAAACAGATCAAACTAAAATTTAAAGTCCAAAAGCTCTATATTGGGTTTCATTTTGCAAACATAGTGAGTGGTACCACTAAGACTGCAGCATATTTTATGCAGTTGTAAAGACTCGAACAGAATGTAAAGATCTTTGACACAGTCTTTCAGTAATGTCCCAGCAATTGTCTGAGTTTTATTTTGTTTTTCTTATTAAATTTTTAATTTTAGATTTAAAAATGTTTTGCTTTATCTAAACTAATATAAACATTCAAAATAGTGAAATTAAGCAATAATTTGAAATTACTCTAATTTAAAATCTAAAATAATTTTTTAAATAAAAAGCAGAAAAGACTTTAATATTTTACATAAAAACATTAGTGCTTTTGGGGCCCCTTGTAAAATAATACTGTAAAGACTATAAAACAAAAGCAAAGCAAACTCCAGAGTAAACAAGTATGGGCAGTAGTTGAGACTCTAAGACAAGACTACATTAAAGATATTTGCTCAGAAACATTGGATAAATTTGTAATAAATAATATAATCACTTTCCAACGATGTCATATAGAGTAACATATTCAAGAGTTAGTTAATACCACTGAAAGAAGCTTATAGAATATTTTTCTTTACAACTTGAAAAACACAAAGATACCGCTCACAAAGAAAATTTTTCTGCTTATTTGTGCAGTCTGAACATAATTGTGATAGAAGGAAGACACTGTACCCAGCTTTGCTGTTAAGAAGCACATCTAATTCTGAAATGTATAAAGCGCTGAAGGATTATGTTGTCAACAGGCACGATCAAAGTTTACATTTTGTGTAAGGTGTATACTATGAGGCCAGATGAAAGGACAGGAAAGTATCCTGCATGTTTATGTTTGTTATCTCTAATATAAAGAAAATCAGGAAAACAATATTTTAAGTTAATTTTATTGTACATTTTATATACATATAGTGATCATCATTCTTCATAGGACTTTGTACCTGTACATAATATATCTTAATTCTTTTTTCTCCAACCCCCTTTCCTCTCTTCAACCCCTTTTCTTCTTCATATTTACAAAAGTTTTATTTCCACTTATCCAAGGACAATTGAGGAAGTCGATATCTTCACATAGACTTGAGGTGTGTATAGCAAACTATTACAATTTGGTAGAGCTGGGTGGTGGCAACACTAAAATTAGGTTTTTTCTTATGTATGTTTGATGTTTTCCATAAATATAACTGAAACCCAACCCTCTACTTTTATAGATAGTATTCCTTTTTATTTTTTTAAGATTATACATTTATTTAGTCTTCAGGAATGTGAAGATCTAATTATTCAACCACTAGACCACCAGGGAAGTACTACTTTTCTTTTAAGAATAAATGTTTGTAATTTTACCATGTTGTGATTTTTATTTAGATGTCCCCCTAATGCCTCATGCATAGGTGGGGATTTTTCAGAGGTGTCTGGATCTAGAATGTGTAATGGTGGAA